TCGTCGATGTGTGTTGATAGATAGTATACACCTCCCTGTGCCTTATCGTCAATGTGTGTCATGAGAGGTTGTATACCCCTCCCTGTGCCTTATCGTCAATGTGTGATGAGAGGTTGTATACACCTCCCTTTGCCGTATCGTCAATGTGTTATGAGAGGTTGTATACACCTCCCTGCGCCGTATCGTCAATGTGTGTTATGAGAGGTTGTATACACCTCCCTGCGCCGTATCGTCAATGTGTGTTATGAGAGGTTGCATACACCTCTCTGTGCCTTATTGTCATTGTGTGTCATGGTAGGTTGTATACACCTCCCTGTGCCTTATCGTCAATGTGTGTTATAAGAGGTTGTATACACCTCCCTGCGCCTTATCGTCGATGTGTGATGAGAGAGGTTGTATACACCTCCCTGTGCCTTATCGTCAATGTGTGTGATTGAAGGATGTATACACCTCCCTGTGCCTTATCGCCAATGTGTTATGAGAGGTTGTATACACCTCCCTGCGCCTTAACGTTCATGTGTGTTGATAGATAGTATACACCTCCCTGTGCCTTATCGTCGATTTGTTATGAGACGTTGTATACACCTCCCCGCGCCTTATCGTCAATGTGTGATGAGAGGTTGTATGCACCTCCCTGTGCCTTATCGTCAATGTGTGTGATGAGAGGTTGTATACACCACCCTGCGCCTTAACGTCGATGTGTGTTGATAGATAGTATACACCTCCCTGTGCCTTATCGTCAATGTGTGTCATGAGAGGTTGTATACACTTCCCTGTGCCTTATCGTCAATGTGTGTCATGAGAGGTTGTACACACCTCCCTGTGCCTTATCGGCAATGTGTGATGAGAGGTTGCATACACCTCCCTGCACCTTATCGTCGATGTGAGTCATGAGAGGTTGTACACACCTCCCTGTGCCTTATCGGCAATGTGTGATCAGAGGCTGTATACACCTCCCTGTGCCTGATCGTCAATGTGTGTCATGAGAGGTTGTATACACCTCCCTGTGCCTTATCGTCAATGTGTGTCATGAGAGGTTGTACACACCTCCCTGTGCCTTATCGGCAATGTGTGAAGAGAGGTTGCATACACCTCCCTGCACCTTATCGTCGATGTGTGTCATGAGAGGTTGTACACACCTCCCTGTGCCTTATCGGCAATGTGTGATCAGAGGCTGTATACACCTCCCTGTGCCTGATCGTCAATGTGTGTCATGAGAGGTTGTATACACCTCCCTGTGCCTTATCGTCAATGTGTGTCATGAGAGGTTGTATACACCTCCCTGTGCCGTATCGTCAATGTGTGATGAGAGGTTGTATACACCTCCCTGTGCCTTATCGTCAATGTGTGTTGATAGATAGTATACACCTCCCTGTGCCTTATCGTCAATGTGTGTCATGAGAGGTTTTATACACTTCCCTGTGCCTTATCGTCAATGTGTGTCATGAGAGGTTGTATACACCTCCCTGCGCCTTTTCGTCGATGTGTGTTGTTGGTAGTATACACCTCCCTGTGCCTTATCGTCAATGTGTGTCATGAGAGGCTGTATACACCTCCCTGTGCCGTATCGTCAATGTGTGATGAGAGGTTGTATACACCTCCCTGTGCCGTATCGTCGATGTGTGATGGGAGGTTATATACACCTCCCTGTGCCTTATCGTCAATGTGTGTTATAAGAGGTTGTATACACCTCCCTGCGCCTTATCGTCGATGTGTGATGAGAGGTTGTATACACCTCCCTGTGCCTTATCGTGAATGTGTGTTATAAGAGGTTGTATATACCTCCTTGCGCCTTATCTTCGATGTGTGTTATGAGAAGTTGTATACACCTCTCTGTGCCTTATCGTCGATTTGTTATGAGAGGTTGTATACACCTCCCTGTGCCTTATCGTCGATGCGTGTTATGAGAGGTTGTATACACCTCCTTGCGCCTTATCGTCAATGTGTGATGAGAGATAGTATACACCTCCCTGTGCCTTATCGTCAATGTGTGATAAGAGATAGTATACACCTCCCTGTTCCTTATCGTTAATGTGTGTTATGAGAGGTTGTATACACCTCCCTGCGACTTATCGTCGATGTGTGTTATGAGAGGTTGTATACACATCTCTGCGAAGACCTACTTATATAATTGTCACCACTATATTGCCTTTTACGCCAAAACGACAATAATCGAGACTCGTTATTTTTTCCATTATCGTTTTATATTTAACTATTTAGCATGGTCGTAGCGTCCTTCTGTGTGTCGTGAGTGTGTTCATACATTATCTGGTGTCATATAATATATAGCATATTCCAAGTGCAGGTGTGTGTAATGAATGTGTGTATACATCATCCAGTGTCATATAATATATAGCATAGTCCAAATGCAGGTGTGTGTAATGTGTGTGTGTATACATCATCCAGTGTCATATAATATAAAGCATAGTCCAAGTGCAGGTGTGTGTAATGAATGTGTGTATACATCATCCAGTGTCATATAATATATAGCATAGTCCAAGTGCAGGTGTGTGTAATGGATGTGTGTATACATCATCCAGTGTCATATAATATATAGCATAGTCCAAGCGGTTGTATACACCTCCCTGAGAGAGGTTGTATACACCTCCCTGTGCCGTATCGTCAATGTGTGATGAGAGGTTGTATACACCTCCCTGTGCCTTATCGTCAATGTGTGTTGATAGATAGTATACACCTCCCTGTGCCTTATCGTCAATGTGTGTCATGAGAGGTTTTATACACTTCCCTGTGCCTTATCGTCAATGTGTGTCATGAGAGGTTGTATACACCTCCCTGCGCCTTATCGTCGATGTGTGTTGATAGATAGTATACACCTCCCTGTGCCTTATCGTCAATGTGTGTCATGAGAGGCTGTATACACCTCCCTGTGCCGTATCGTCAATGTGTGATGAGAGGTTGTATACACCTCCCTGTGCCGTATCGTCGATGTGTGATGGGAGGTTATATACACCTCCCTGTGCCTTATCGTCAATGTGTGTTATAAGAGGTTGTATACACCTCCCTGCGCCTTATCGTCGATGTGTGATGAGAGGTTGTATACACCTCCCTGTGCCTTATCGTGAATGTGTGTTATAAGAGGTTGTGTATACCTCCTTGCGCCTTATCTTCGATGTGTGTTATGAGAAGTTGTATACACCTCTCTGTGCCTTATCGTCGATTTGTTATGAGAGGTTGTATACACCTCCCTGTGCCTTATCGTCGATGCGTGTTATGAGAGGTTGTATACACCTCCTTGCGCCTTATCGTCAATGTGTGATGAGAGATAGTATACACCTCCCTGTGCCTTATCGTCAATGTGTGATAAGAGATAGTATACACCTCCCTGTTCCTTATCGTTAATGTGTGTTATGAGAGGTTGTATACACCTCCCTGCGACTTATCGTCGATGTGTGTTATGAGAGGTTGTATACACATCTCTGCGAAGACCTACTTATATAATTGTCACCACTATATTGCCTTTTACGCCAAAACGACAATAATCGAGACTCGTTATTTTTTCCATTATCGTTTTATATTTAACTATTTAGCATGGTCGTAGCGTCCTTCTGTGTGTCGTGAGTGTGTTCATACATTATCTGGTGTCATATAATATATAGCATAGTCCAAGTGCAGGTGTGTGTAATGAATGTGTGTATACATCATCCAGTGTCATATAATATATAGCATAGTCCAAATGCAGGTGTGTGTAATGTGTGTGTGTATACATCATCCAGTGTCATATAATATAAAGCATAGTCCAAGTGCAGGTGTGTGTAATGAATGTGTGTATACATCATCCAGTGTCATATAATATATAGCATAGTCCAAGTGCAGGTGTGTGTAATGGATGTGTGTATACATCATCCAGTGTCATATAATATATAGCATAGTCCAAGCGCAGGTGTGTGGAATGAATGTGTGTATACATCATCCAGCGTCCATATCTTTGTTATGAGAGTGTATACATTTCATCCAGTGTCATAGGATATTTAGCATGGATTGTGCGCTCGTGTGTCACAGTGTTCTATCCATGCCAATGTATTACGTTGATAGCATGACAATAATGCAGGAAGGCGTTGTTGCAGTTACAATGTACTATACAGCATCAGGACGATTTTTTTGTGATACAACAAACGTTATACTAAAAATTCAGACTTTACTGATACATAAAAGGTTCCTTATCTCAGTATCCTTATCACAAGTTGAACAGTACATAGCTGATGAATGTGTACAACAACAGTTAACGCGGGTATACGTGGTGCCCCCAATGATCAGTTAGTCATGCAGTGACATAGCTAATGCCTACATGCACACTTGATGCGTGGATCACAACAGGGAGCTTACCCGTTCAACAGGCTTTCTAGGGTACAGGTGACACATGCAGAATAAAACATTGTACTGTTCTCATGAGATGTTGGTGAGTATTGTATGTGATTTGTAGTCATATTCGGTTCATCTCGGACAGTTTGGGCAAGAATCTTTTGAGCACATGCCTTGGCTTGGTCGTGTGACTGATTACATTATTATCTATCGGCAGTCGTGACACTTATACGAGTGTTAAGAATCAATGTGTACACACAACTTATGTAAGGGGGAGGCATTAGTCGCTGAGCGGCTGTTATTGAAAGTTTAAAATGTCACTATCAATGCGAGTCCACTATATGATGTTAACCATAACACAAGCATTTGTTTTTAACTCACATAGTTTGGTAGAGGTTCTTGTGCAAGACATGAAGATGGACACAATAAGGCTTGGAACTATTCTCCACGATTCGGTGCACATTGTAAGTCGAGAGCCAGGCGTTGTGATTTGTTTTTGTGTGATGACAGTAATCGTTAACTGTTAGTCTTGTGCACATCATATAATTTGAGTCAGCACACTACACATTAAACACAACATTTATGGCGTCAGACCACCCGTACAATATATACAATGATCTAGTCCTTGATAGGTCGTCGCCGAACACAAAGGGTGTCTTTATGATAATACTTTTGAAAATGTTAAGAAAATAGACCGTCCCACTTCTTCAAGGTAATATTATCATTACAGCGTGGAGCGGACACTGTTTATTTTCAATGTGCGGAATGTCAGGGTTGTTGTCTTTGTGCAGTAGTCCTATCGCTTGGACCTCCAGAAATGAAGGGGACCCTGTGTTCAGAAGACCGAGGCAGGATTACTTCCTCCATATGATCATGTGAGAGGTCTCCCTTTGAACCACCATAACTCAACCAGTTAACCTAATCTAACGGAATTGGAGAGGACTTAGAAAACAATTTTTATGACATTCAATTGTTGATCCAGGATGTTAAACCGTCTGCTTTATGTCGTCACGAAATGTACCTTAAAAGTACAGATACTAGGAACTACCATTATTATCATAAATATCTCCATTTGACACTACCTGGAAGCATGACATTCTGAAGGATTTATATGATTTTGGTTTGAGTGGCCACTTTTGTCATTTAATTTCATATTTTTTTCCATTTTAAGTCCAACTGTCTGACCAATATATTCCGGATCAGGGTGTCCACGCAAAGCAATATTTTGTCTGTCACTTTATTTTGTATCTAAAACGTGTTCCTAATCCCAGTCAAACAGTAGGTAGACTTTACACTTACTACACTCAAATATATAACACAAACCAATTGGTCTATCTACAAGAATATACCAAATTAAGACCAAAATATGATTCTTTACTTATGGTTCCAAGGATGGAGGCAAAGTTTGAAGTGTCACTCTCATTGGATAAGAAATGGTGTCTTCGAGAATTCCAGGTAATAATTATAGATTGAGATTGCCTGAGGCCAATGCAATTCTTAAAGTTTAATTTAAGCCTCAGGTACATTAATCTTTGTTTATTTGTTTGTTTGTTTTCCAGCTTTATGATGGGGGTCTGTAAATAATCAAGTCTAGACCAATTGGGATACGATTTCGCATTAGGGATACGATGACATGCATCAATCAAGCCATTGAGCCTGACCACCTCTTGTGACAAGCATAGTAGCCATTTATGACAAGCATGGGTTGCTGAAGATCTATTCCTACCCAGATGTTCACAGGTAAGGTATTACAGTGATCTGATATCGTTGACTGATGGTAAAATGGCCAATTCTCTTCGACTCATCTACCCACTAAAACTGCCTTATCTGTTTCATGTATATACATAGAGATATATACATACACATTCAGGATGACTTCCAACTCCGTGCTATATTTCAGCAGCTCCATCCGTTGTGTGATACATTTCACTTCTTGTGAGGTACAATTGAGCAAGCTCTTTCCACAAAAAACTTCAAAGATCGTTACATGGTGCTTGCTCAAAAGTTGTTTGATGAGGGTTACACCATTCAAGGCTTCAATAAAGCTATTCTATAAGCTTGACTCCATATAATGTGGTGTGTTCTGTGTCCAGCTTCTTTTATTCTCAGCTACTTGAGGAGTATACACATACACTCTCTGTTTTCTGCACACCTTGACAACTTTTAATTTCTTTGTCGTTGCATCAAACAATTGTTGTTTCATTGTTTAGATGTTTATGTTAATGGGTAACGTGCGATATCACTTAATTGTTCTTTCTTATCAGTTTCAGTCAACATAATGGCTGCCTCGCTGATGATATGGATTGCCTGCTTGGTAACTGCTACTGAAGGTAACACGTTGTGTGTATATTGCTGATTGAGTGTTTTTATTTGCTGATGTCCATACCTATGTACAATAATGTGTCATTTTAATTAATATAAGATCAAAGGGCAAGTAAAAGCAACACAACAAGTTTGCAAGTTTTGAAACTTTATGGCATACTTCATCACAAATACTTAGATCCCCAAATTAGATTTGAAGAAAAGGAAATAGCGTAAACAAGACACTGAAAACTGACAGACGAACTCGTTTCCAATTCAAAGAAAACCGCTACTTAGGTTAAAACCAGTTCTTGGTGTTTGACACACTGTACCATTTGCCTTTTTGCCCCGAACGGGGAATATACCACTTAAAGTTTGCTAAAAATAAAATTTTGATGATATAAGAAAATCATCCAACAAATTTAAATTGAAATATCTAAGTATGCAATTATTGGGTAACCCCTACAGGACCGTAATGTCACGGTGAACGGGTAGAGGCATGAACTCAAGGGCATGATGTGCATGAAGTGCTTGAAATCATGTGTTTGGATGTGTCTTGACAGGACCGTTCAACATCATTATCAGAGAGCATGACACAATTTGCTACTGAGGATTGCAAACATCTGAATGTACGTATGTCTCCTCAGCGTCAAAGATGTTGTTTGACGACCGAAGAATGAGGCAGATGTATTGGCATGCTTGAAACTGGATTAACACAACGTCAAGTTGCAAACGTCTTTGTTGTTGGCCCAAGTGTGATCAGCAGGGCATGGAACTGATACCAGACGTTTGGATCAGCTAGCCAGCAGTATGTAGGTGGTCAACAACATTCCACCGGACAGCGGGAAGAATGGTTTCCTGTTGCAGCAAGAAGATATTAAGGCATTAAGAAATGATAGCGGATATCAAGTGGCGTCACTCAGACAGTGTGTAATCGATTCTGTGAGACTGGTATCTAGTCACAGAGGGTTTGTATTCGCACTGATAAGTTCAACTGGACAGACCAGAGCTGGGCTCCAGTACTTTTAAGTGATAATGTCAAGGTTTCACAGATCGCCATGCCCAGCGTGACTGCTACAGGGTAGGCCCAAACATATATAGGGAGTGATCAGTACAGCTGGAAGAATATCCATGTCCTACATGACAGCTACAGGGTAGGCTCACACATATATAGGGAGTGATCAGTAAAGCTGGAAGAATATCCATGTCCTACAGGGAGGCACTACAGGACTGCTACAGGGTAGGCTCAAACATATATAGGGAGTGATCAGTAGAGCGGGAAGAATATCCATGTCCTACAGGAAGGCACTACAGGGATGCCATTCTGCATGGTTATGTGAGACCGTATGCAGGCACTATCAGGGAACTTCCTCCTCAGGGACGTTAACGATAACCTCATCACGCAAGGGTCGTCTGTATTAATACAGATACTCGCACGAATAATATAAGCTAAATGCCGTAAGACAATCACGTCTTCATACCCTAAATGTATCTTATTTATAGCTTACTTCAAACATCATACAGTTATTTAGGTACAATCAGACTGTTTCTCTCAAATCCAAATCAATTGGTACAAAACACCTCAGGTATTATAAGTCTCGGGTATTTTTCAACGCCACCATCATCAGTTTTCAGCAGCTGCTGTTCAGGTATATTTAGTTTTGTATATCTTTCAATGCCATACAATTGGTAGACATTTCTTCAGGTATTATAAGTCACATTTATCTTTCTTTATACCTGTAGTGGGTCACGTATAACTGGTCATTTAATATACAACGTCAAGGCCAGAGAATAACCAGACTCAATGATACGATTCCATTGGAAATAGAAGGCAAAAATAGTGGTGACAGTTATAGGAAGGAGTCACTGAGAATCAATGAAGACACCAAGTATTCGCAATGGGTGCGCATGTCCTGACCTACTGCTTTACCATGTTTCAATATCAACATGCCCATTTTCCTATTCACAAGACCACCCATTATAATACATGTAATATAACTTTCAGCCAGTCCATGCAAGGACACCCATCACTGTTCAGACTGTGACGGTGAGACAGGGTATTGCCTCACTGAGTGTGACACTGGATATTGGGGTCTGAGTTGCAAGTCTTCCTGCAGCAAAAACTGTAGGAATAACACATGTGTGATCTCAAGACATGGTAGTGCTAACTGCACTGACGGGTGTGTCCCAGGATACCAAGGCATCAACTGTAACATACCATGTGACAGTCCAGGGGGTAACTGTACAGCATGTCCAGGTGGGTGTGATGGAGGATATTGTCAGCTGGGCTCCTTCTGTGTGTCTGGATGTGTAGACTCTCACTACGGGACTGATTGTAAGAACTGTTCAACAGGATGTACCCCATGCAACAGGTTGGCAGGAACATGCGAAGAGACATCGGGTAAGTATTATTTTATGAAAAGTGTTCACAGTATTACTGCCCTAAAGGCTACAAACTTATATGCACACGTGTCCATCAGAACTATTAAAGTATACACCATATGATGGTGCACATTCAACACAATGTGCAAGGATGCCCCTCAAAGGAAGTATGTCATTCTGTTCAGAAAGAAAAGTAACTACTTCAAAAGTCAAAATAAATATCTGCTATAAGGTACAACTACGATTCAGACTACATAGTCGCAATAAAGGGGAAGGTACCCTGTCCCATCCGTGGCACCCGTCACAAACACGTGAATCAAAGCATTGAATGCTTTGGTTGAAAGTGTTTAACCACAATTGCCTTCGGTGAAAAACACATTGCTTTGTTTATAGCCCTTCCGATCCCTACTTCAATACGTTTCTGTTACACCAGCCACTACCACTATCCCTCATGCCAACCACGCCAACAATCCCTTCCAACCCTATCGTTCAACCTACCCACGTCCCGAATCCCTTCCAACCCTATCGTTCAACCTACCCACGTCACCAATCCCTTCCAACCCTATCGTTCAACATACACACGTCACCAATCCCTTCCAACCGTATCGTTCAACCTACCCACGTCACAATGCCCATTTTTCTATTCACAAGACCACCAATTATAATACATGTAATATAACTTTCAGCCAGTCCATGCAAGGAAACCCATCACTGTTCAGACTGTGACGGTGAGACAGGGTATTGCCGCACTGAGTGTGACACTGGATATTACGGTCTGAGTTGCAAGCCTACCTGCAGCAAAAACTGTAGGAATAACACATGCGTGGTCTCAAGCCATGGTAGTGCTAACTGCACTGACGGGTGTGTGCCAGGATACCAAGGCATCAACTGTAACATACCATGTGACAGTCCAGGGGGTAACTGTACAGCATGTCCAGGTGGGTGTGATGGAGGATATTGTCAGCTGGGCTCCTTCTGTGTGTCTGGATGTGTAGACTCTCACTACGGGACTGATTGTAAGAACTGTTCAACAGGATGTACCAAATGCAACAGGTTGACAGGAACAGGAATATGCGAAGAGACATCGGGTAAGTATTATTTTATGAAAAGTGTTCACAGTATTACTGTCCTTAAGGCTACAAACTTAGATGAACATGTGTCGATCAGAACAATTAAAGTTGGCCCCATATGATGGTGCACATTAAACACACATGTGCAAGGATGCCCCTCAACGGAAGTATTTTATTTCTGTTCAGAAAGAAAAGTGACTATTTCAAAAGTCAAAATAAATCTCTGCTATAAGGTACAACTACGATTCAGACTACATAGTCGCAATAAAGGGGAAGGTATCCTGTCCCATCCGTGGCACCCGTCAGAAACACGTGAATCAAAGTATCCATTCCACTAGTTCAATACGTTTCTGTTACACCAGCCATTACCACTATCCCTCAATCCAACCACGCCAACAATCCCTTCCAACCCTATCGTTCAACCTACCCACGTCACCAATCCCTCCCAACCCTATCGTTCAACCTACCTACGTCGCCAATCCTTTCCAACCCTATCTTTCAACCTACCCACGTCGCCAATCCTTTCCAACCCTATCTTTCAACCCACCCACGTCACCAATCCCTTCCAACCCTATCGTTCAACCTACCAACGTCAGCGATCCCTTCCAACCCTATATTTCAGCCTACCCACGCCAACGATCCCTTCCAACCCTATCATCTCAACCTGCCCACGTCACCAATCCCTTCAAACCCTATTGTTCAACCTACCCACGTCACGAATCCCTTCCAAACATATCGTTCAACCTACCCACGTCACCAATCCCTTCCAACCCTATCGTTCAACCTTCCCACGTCACCAATCCCTTCCAACGCTATCGTTCAACCTACCCCCGTCACCAATCCCTTCCAACCCTATCGTTCAACCTACCCACGTCACCAATCCCTTCCAACCCTATCGTTCAACCTTCCCACGTCACCAATCCCTTTCAACGCTATCGTTCAACCTACCCACGTCACCAATCCCTTCCAACCCTATCTTTCAACCTACCCACGTCACCAATCCCTTCCAACCCTATCTTTCAACCTACCCACGTCACCAATCCCTTCCAACCCTATCGTTCAACCTTCCCACGTCACCAATCCCTTCCAACCCTATTGTTCAACCTACCCACGTCACCAATCCCTTCCAACCCTATCTTTCAACCTACCCACGTCACCAATCCCTTCCAACCCTATCGTTCAACCTACCCACGTCACCAATCCCACCCGACGCACACACCTCCTTCAACAGTGTTTCTGCCACACCAACCACTACTACTATATCTCGACCATTTGATCAATCCCTACTTCTAGTTTCTGCCACATCACACACACACACATGCAATTGGCCTTATTTCAAAGTCGGTTAGGTCTGCCGCATTTTACTATGAGTAAAAGTTAGCTGGTGTCTGGAATATGTTGCTGTGTCGTTTCTGTGTTGTGGTGTGGCTAAAAATGTTAAAAACTAGCAAACTTACCTCTTTGATGACTGGTTATTGGTGTGTTCTTTGTTGACAAAATGGGACATGAAATGTATCCTGAAGTCACAATGTGGCTGAAACACCTCCCATGTGAATGAAATTACTCACCCAGTCACATTTCCTTCTACTACTAGGTTTAAACTCAGACTTCGCCCTCACATATCTAATAAGCTTACAAACCCCTAATGTCTTAGACCTGCCACCCACTGCACGTCTTGCACCGTCTTGCACCGTCTTGCACCGTCTTGCCCCTACCACTTCCCCATCTCTAGCACCTGCCCCTATCTCGTATGTGCCCAACCCCTATGCCCAGCCCCTAACCTAACCAAGAGCCCGTTTCCTACAGCCCTTATAACAGACATATATAGGGATTTCTTGTAAAATGTAAGACAAGCTGATTCATGTTTAAACAGAGGATATATATCCTGGTTGACTGTGCAGTTGGAGAACATCAATCAGCTTGTCTCAAATTTTACAAGAAAGCCCTGCAGCAATATTTACAAATCAACCTCGTTTTTCTTTGTCAGGTAATAACGTGGGACTGTTTATAGGACTTGCTGCTGCAGGTGTGCTTTTCATTGTTATACTATTCCTGGTTGTGGGCTGCTACAAGTATTTTCAACACTTAAAGAAAAACAGGTGAGTGTGCCAAATTCAGAAATATTCTCAGATACGGGGTCACAATAGGTCCATACTCACTCCCCATGTAATACCTACCATAATAACTGACCAAAGTGGTCCCCATGTCGTACTTGCCATAATAACTGACCAAAGTGGTCCCCATGTCATACTTACCATAATAACTGACCAAAGTGGTATCCATGTCATACTTACCATAATAACTGACCAAAGTGGTCCCCATGTCATACTCACTATAATAACTGACCAAAGTGGTCCCCATGTCATACTTACTATAATAACTGACCAAAGTAGTCCCCATGTCATACTTACCATAATAACTGACCAAAGTAGTCCCCATGTCATACTTACCATAATACCTGACCAAAGTGGTCCCCATGTCATACTTACCATAATACCTGACCAAAGTAGTCCCCATGTCATACTTACTATAATAACTGACCAAAGTAGTCCCCATGTCATACTTACCATAATACCTGACCAAAGTGGTCCCTATGTCATACTTACCGTAATAACTGACCAAAGTGGTCTCCATGTCATACTTACCATAATAACTGACCAAAGTGGTCCCCATGTCATACTTACCATAATAACTGACCAAAAGTGGCCTCCATGTCGTACGTACCATAGTAACTGATCAATGTAGACAGACAACCATTTAAATTGTTGGTAACACACACACTGTGATCCAAGAAAAGCTTTGAGTATTATAACGAGGCAATATCCTTGCAGGTGTCAATACCTCATACCTACCCATGGCATACACATGTCAACAGAGGACACTGATGCTCGAGTATATGATTTCATTGATGAAGCAGAGATGTATGATCCGCTCACTGATGATAGACAAACCAGCCTATCACGTGACCTGGAACTTTCAGAAACAGCTGAACCAGGAACCACAACCAATGACCTGTTAGTATGAACGCGTTATAGCAAGGGTTTGGGTCCAATACGCTTTAGAAATAAGGATAACACATCTACCTCTTGGGGCTACCAAGACCTGATATATCTACCTCAGAGGTCAGAGCATGAGGCTACCAAGACCTGATATATCTACCTCAGAGGTCAGAGCATAAGGCTACCAAGACCTGATATATCTACCTCGGAGGTCAGAGCATGAGGCTACCAAGACCTGATATATCAAACTCGGAGTTCTGAGCGTGAGGCTACCAGGAACTGTGATATCTAGAAAAGAGCAGGAAACAGAAAAGAGTTGTATAATGTATATATATTGTATGTGCCATATCTGTTATTTTGTTAGTGCGTTGTTGAGAGAGCGACATGGATTATTCAGATTCTATATTGGGTGTGAGCATTGTTGTAGTGCATCTTTATATATGTTTCCCACACACTGACCCCCAACACACACACACACACACACACACACACACACACACACACACACACACACACACACACACACACACACACACACGCACGCACGTTCATGCTCGCCGCTTTGTAAGTGCAATGTTCTTGGATGCGACGTTAAATACCATTTCACATCACCTTACTTTTTAAAACGACATATGACGTGATGAAACAACAAACAAAGAAACAAATTTACCAAACCAACGTTCATTCGACATAAATCAGTTACTAACACAGAGTTTGGGACAGGTGATTAAACCGGAATGTAGTGGATGTTTATTTATTTATTTTCTATTTTAACTGATTGATATTTACAATAAAGAAAGACAGACTGTCATGAAAATAATAAACAGGGACAACAAGCACGACCCCGTTCTTTTTCCGCTGACATAGTCCAGAACCTATAATATGAAGTACAGACAGAAACACGACGCTCAACCTAACTATAGAGCACATATCATACTGCACGTTAGGGAACGTAATCGATGTGGTCGAGGGTCAGGTCACGTTGCCCTCTGTCATCCGTGTACTGAAATATGTTTCTGTTTTTCCTCAAGTCCACCTTGAGTGTGAATGGTGCATGCGGAGTGACGCATGTGGGCGTTGCGTGTGCATTATATAGCTGAACAATATTGACATATATTTATACATATACGTGTACGGGAAAACATCTTATGCACCATGAAATATCACGTTTAACTACAGTTATGGAATTGTCATAATCATGCATGCTAGTCATATGTGCAAACACTTGTCACGAATACCCATGATGACCCCGTCATTGCATGCATAAATTTTAACGATTGAGAATTTCGTTACGCATTTACATTTCACGTGGGATCAAGTCAATTCACAGATTTTTCACGACCGCTGCATAAAGTAACCTGAACAACATTATTTAAGTTTTAAAGACGGCCCCCGTTGTATAAGAGCCGACTCCAGTGTGGTTGGTGAATTAACAATGGGTTACCTGTAGGGCTGCGCGTCACTGCACCCAGACAGTGTGTAGAGTTGTTCATGCTATCAACCACTACTTTGTCTGGAGCGAATGGCTGCGGTGTAAATCAACATTCACTTCGCCGAATGGATCACCCGACAACGGACATTGATAACAGCTACAGCTGAATGTTTACGGTTAACGTTTTGACACTTGGAAACATGCCAAGCAATAAAACAAAGGTTTGAACATCCATGCGGACGCAAGTACTTACACAGTAAAGATAACAAACAGCACATAACTAGGCTGTAAATAATGCGTCGTGTCGTGTACTCTAACACCGTCAAAATAAAGCCGAGATAAGACCAGGACTGTCTGCACTATTTCCTCCTCTATAAATAGAATCAGCACACTGCATAGTGCACGGCGCATGCGCATATCGCATACTCTGATTACAGTGTTCGTTATAAGGAGGAAGTAATATTGAAGATCACAGCCTGTCATAGGCGTAAAGTTATGTCACCTGACTTTGTATGTCATGTAGCCTTTAAGACACGTTAAATACTTGCATCGTCGCGATCGTAGTGTAACCACATTCCTCAGGAATGAATACAATCGCCCAGGGCAGACTGAGGTGTGAATAATTGATCAATGAAATAAGAAACAACAACAGCTCTAAACCAAACACATATATTCATCGTTGTATATTATTTCTATCAATTGCTTGCAATATTGATACAAGTATGTCTGACAGTAACGGGTATTGTTTCTGCCTAAACTTTGCCATGGCCCTAAGCGTCAGTAGGCGACGCACACGCTGTATTCAAAGGGGATACGCTTGAATGTAAAGACTCGGGTATCCGTGTTGATGTAAGGGTGGAGGGGTTGCGAGGGGAGTGAGGTGAATGCTTGAGTGGGGGAGGTGATTATGTGTGGGGAAGTTGCAGGGTTGAGATTTGGGGTGGGGGGTGGTCGTGTGGGGTCCAGTATTAAGTGGTCGGGGTTAGGGTGAGGAGGCTCGTGGTTGACTTGAAGGAGTGCGGGATCGAGTAGGGAAATGAATTATCAAGGTGGGTGGTTGAGTAGGGGAGTTGTGGGATTGGCGGGGCGAGGTACAGGGTTTAGGTGGAGAGTTTGAGTGGGCGATCTCCAAATGTGCTCACGATATTTTCCCAATTTGTTTTGTCCATTAGTCCTATTTGTTTTATGTGGAATTCTAGTTGAACCATTTTACTTTTCACAGTTATTACGTGGTATGCATTTGGATCACATGTTCCCATTCTAATTTCAGGATATTTCCATATTGTTTGGTCTCGTTTACATATCATCTTATCGAGTAATGGTTCAACACTGGCCCCCTACCTGAGCTATATTAATGATGATATAGTCAACCAGAAGTCCTTGTAATGTGCTGTAGGATGTACGATATTACCTACCTAGCCTCTTATTATAGGGCACCTGGGGCTTAGTCCAATAACTACATGTTCAGAGTTGTTTCCCTTGTTCACGCCAGTAACCTATGAGTGTGGGTTCGAATCCCTGACGAGATTATGTCTGTACGTTTATCAGCACCCTACCCTACTTCAACAAAGTGGTAAACATTTACTACATGAACCACTTCAGGTGTTCCTCCATATTAAGGTGACACGCCGTGAGGTGCTTCCATCTGGGATACTGTTCAAAGCTATGTTAAACCCAACTCACGCACTCACTCACTCTCAAAGCATTGCAGAATCCTTAACGTTGTTTTGATTCATGGTTGGTGGGTGACACTTGTTGTCGTCGTCCTCTAGTATTTCATAGTTTAATGACTTAGTAAAAATGTTACAGCCAATTTTGTCAAATTATGCATTTTTCCTTCAATTTATGCAATTTTGACCCCCTGAAAATTCCTGCACACACTTGCAAGATTACTACCCAATGAAAATTGTGGACAGGTAACTCCTTTATGCAATAGAAAAGGTTTAAGGTATACAGGGAAAAGTGGGAACGAAAATCTTGTTTTTCACCGCTGGCCAACTGACTATGTCTGGGATGAGGCGTTAAACGTCACATATATACGACGTCAGTGTAAGAGAATAATCAGTTTTAATTAACCACCGAAACAAATGATATTGGGCGTAAAAGTTTAAATAGCTGTGAAACTGATGTCAATGATATTTTTTTTTTAAATCAGGTTGTGTTTGTGATAATGTTAGGAATGGATGGCTAAAAAAGCATTTGTCACTGTAACATAAACATGGGGGTTGTCTGTGTGATAAATAGTATACCCGTGATAAATATGATACATATGGTAAATATGATACATGTGGTTAATATGATAAACATAATAAATATGATACATATTATGAATATGATAAATATGATACAAGCGATACATGTGATAAATATGAAGAAGAGAATAGTTGCGATTGCAAAGATTTTTAGAAGGGCAGATGCTTGAGAAACATTTGTTCAGCATGAACTCAAGAACCCGGCCGTGGATAATGAGATAAATATGATAAGTATGATACATGTGATAAATATGATTAATATGCTAAATATGATGAATATGATACATGTGATAAATATGATAAATTTGATAAATAAATGCGACATGTGATAAATATTAAAAATATGATACATGTGATAAATGTGATAAATATGATAATTATGATACATGTGATAAATATGATACATGTGATAACTATGATAAATATGATACATGTGATAAACATGATATGTGAATAACAAAGACAGCATGGTTCATGCTCACCATTATTCATAAAGCTAGATGGCAGTGTGTAAACACATTTTTCCCCCAACAATCATACCCTCAATAACATCTGGACACACAATAAACTCTTTGTTTGTCGAGGACAGATAAAAGTGAAGAAGGGAATAGTTGCGATTGCAAAGATTTTTAGAAGCGCAGGTGCATGAGAAACATTTGTTCAGTATGAACAGAAGTACGTGGCCGAAACATACATCAATCGTGTTCAGTTAGTGGATATTTGAAAATGCAAATATTGCAAGTATGTGCAACAAGTTTACAGATAAATTATTGTATTTCTAAATAGGTGATTATTATTTTAATCGTATACACACGATCTTCAAATGGAGGCTGTTGACAAAAAGCAGAAATTGTTGAGCGATTCATTCATACAGATAAGATAACGATACAACACTCATATTCACGCACATGATAAACAATATTTCCTGGTGTTTGAAAAACAACCTGATCCCTGTCAAGCAATGTCCTGTTTGAACCAGATGAACCGTGCGATTGCTATCTTCAAGGGACACAACTCCTCCAGTATTCAATGCACAAGTACCACATTCGGACTATCCTCTCCAACTTGTTTAACGCCGCAGTCAGCAGTACTCACGCTGCATGACGGCGGTATGTCAATAAACAGCTTTCGATAAGACAACATGAACATCGACCTACACTTTTTGGGATAGATGACAGATATCCCACGTCACCGCGCCTGGTCGACTGTTCCATTGTATCGCTTCTTACAACAAGCATAGGCTGGTTGCCTAAAGTCTTACCCGAACGGGTTCTCTCCAACTACAATTCGTGAGATGTTCGTATCGGTGACTGCAGACACACTCACTGCTACACCTAGCTGTGGGACAATATCATTTGACACAGCATGGCCACACAAGAGTCTGCTTGCTCAATAATAGGGACATGTATATGAGATGTTTGATACTCATACACATGTGTTTGGAAATTGATTCTGTTTATTCACTGATACTTGCATTGTGCTTTTACAACTTATTTCTAAATAACATAAACGGAATATATTGTCAAGAAGAAGGTGAAAGTATGTTAATATTTAAATGTAAGAGAATAAAGATGAATTCGTATGCGTCTGTTGTACCTTAAGCTGACGCCAGCACTATCAGAATATATTTCCTCGATCACTGGCTGTGCGCCAAAGCTTTGTTTGTTTTTAAGGCCGCATTCATTTTACAGCTGTATAACGGCGGTCCGTACCGTCCAGACCAGGCCATCCAATGAGTAACATCATGAACTATCAGATTATATTTCCAT